TGGGGGGGGGGGGGGGGCGAGAAAAAATCTTGCACCAGGGCCCATTGCTCCTTAGGTCCACCACTGGTAACACTTATGTGTTTAACTGCTGGCAAGTGTGAATGGACTGTAAAGTGCTACCGAACAAATTCTTTCCAAACTGCATGATGTCTACTTAACAAAGCAAAAGATGAAAAGTAAACAGCATTCAAATAAATCAGTTTCACACATTGTAAAAGCATAATGTCACATAGGCCAAATACCCAATATTTTAGGTCCATGCAGGGTCCCTCCCTCAACCGAAGGGCTCCGGCGGCCGAAGAGAGCCGAAGGATCAGCCAAAGCTACGGCTGGATCCTTCGGCTCTTTATTGAATAACCCCCTAAGAGTCATTTCTGAGGGCCAGTAACTCTTTCAGAATCCGAACTTACTCTGAACTTAATTCAGCTCTGTAAGGGAACCAAAGACCAGGCAAACTTTGTTAAAGAAGAGGGGTGAAGGGACCGGTCTAGCAGCAGAGGTTCAGGTGACTATATCTTTGTTAACCCTTTTGCTGCCATAAGTACTACATCCATGGCAGCAGAGACCTGTAAGCAGACTCCTGGCCGCTTTTTGGTGGAAGTGATTTGGCCCGTTTTAAAGCCAAATTTTGTGGCCGGGACAGAAGCTGATCAAGCATTATCAATGCTTAGTCAGCTTCATTGGGGTTCAAAGGTGACATTAGGGGTCTAGTAGATCACCAAAGTCTCCTGAAAGAGAATCTGTCACTGGGATATGCTATCATATATCACGATCAGCCCCCTATGTAGACCACCAAAGTCTCCTGAAAGAGGATCTGTCACTGGGATATGCTATCATATATCACGATCATCCCCCTATGTAGACCACCAAAGTCTCCTGAAAGAGGATCTGTCACTGGGATATGCTATCATATATCACGAGCATGCAGCTCTACATGCTAACATTCATTAGCTAAACAAACAGATTTTGCTTTTACTTACAATTACTGTTTTTTCCACTTCCTGGTCCTCTTAGGCATTAGTGATGTAGCCTGCATACTGGGAAGGTGACATCAGTAGAGCATTGCTGAGAAATATCATCTGTATACTGCAAAATGTCATGAGAGCTCAGACAAGGGAATTATTTTTCCTCTGAGATTATGTGCCCTGTCACTTGTTCTAGTCAGATGTGCCAGAGTTCCAGGAAGGAAAGGGAGATTTATTCATCTACCCTTAGTGAAAATGGCCACCATAAAAAAAAGAATGGGGAGGAAAAGAAAAATAAAGTAGACAAAGAAAAAAAAGTCTGCAAGTATCTATAAGTATCTGTTTGTAGATTGTAATTTCTAACGCTGCCTTTGTTGTCATTTTAAGGCTGAAGTTAATAATGAGTTGATATTGAGAAACTTGATTGGAGTAGAATAGAGCGTCCTATATTATTCTGTGTGGGAATCGTGTTACTGCAACAAAAGAGTCAGCAGCTAGTAATACCAGTAAAAGCCTGTTACTGTCATCAATGCTTGTATTACTAAGTACTGACTCCTTTGTTCCAGTAACACCATTCCCACACAGAATAATACAGGAAGTTCTCTCTATTCAAATCTAAACAAGTTCCTCACTACATCTTAAGCCCTGATGAAGTGTTTTTGACACCCAAAATGTGTTGGCTTTCTTTTATTTGTGAGTCGTTAAAGAGATTTTTACTCGTTTAGTATCCAGTCTGGCGCTACTTCTTTTGGTGAATACTTTGAATGACTCTGCTGGCATTGACGTGTGGTGAAGACATTGCTGCACAGCATCTTAAAAATGAGACACTTTATATTCATGCATTGTATTTATAATTTAGGACAAATTAATGATTTCTTTAATTGATAAATGTATAACCTGTGCATTGTATGTCTGTGATGGTTCTCATTCATCCAAGTCATGGTATATCTGTAAACAATAAATCACGGCAACTGGACTTGCTGTATTTTTCTTGAAGACGTTTTACTGGACATCCGACCGGCTTTCTCAATTGTCTGCCACATACAATGCTGTTTTAACACCTCTCTCTGGGCAGGTTATTAACACCTCATAGACTCAGAGGATGCAAATGCAATCAACACCTGGTTGTGACTAACAGATTATGTGGATTGGAGCAACATTTACATCCAATCATATTTATTCCCAGAGAGCCATTCTGAATTGAGAAAGCTGGTCGGATGTCCAGTGAAACATCTTCAAGAAAAATACAGCAAGTCCAGTTGCCCAGACTTATTTTTTACAGAGATACTTAGAACGGAATGTGCTTTTTTTGAATGTTAACTTTTATTCCTTGCTTTTTACATGACATCATAAACAACATTTCTGTAAAAAGAAAAAAAAAATCAAAGCCTAGTTTACTTTTTGATGGGAATGACTGGGGCAACATGCATGGTAAAATCAGGTGTTTCTGGTAGATTCAGAATTTTTGTCAATCTCTCCATTTTGTTTTGAAGTTGATTAAGACAGAATAAAAGGTTAAGTGTAATATAATACCTTTCCCTCTGCAATAAAAATGCAATAACACATTAATCAATGTTAATCAGCTTGGTTTTCAAGAAATACATAATTTTGAGACCCAGCAATGTAATCACTCGGTCTTTCTGTTGATCTTTGCTCTGTGATAAGATTGAGTTCAGTGTGTGTGTGTATGTGTGTGGATGGTAGGCTTCTGTAAATGTATTAATAGAGTTTTGTAAACATCGCAGCACCATGGCTTGGATCTTGTTTCAAAAACACAGGCATCTATTGAATACATCCCTGGAACACATCCCCAGCATCCCTGAGACGCACCTACTTCTCCTTGCTGACTACTGGGTGCTGCATACTATTGGCTGTGCAATCTATTGATTAGTTGCTTGATTACACTATAATAGAATGTAATCAAGCAACTGATTGGCAGATTGCACAGCTAATCAGGATCATGCACATCTAAAGGCATATGTTTTTTACTACAATGCTCAGGAACAGCAGTACAGCGATTGATGCCAGCCCTAAAGAAAATGCAAAGATAACAATGTGAAAAATGGCTGTGTGAGACTGACCAATGAGAGTTGGATCAGTCGTAGAGGGGATTGATGATAATTGAAATCATTCAGGCAGGACATGATGGTAGGTTCAAGAAAGCTGCTGTAGCGTCAAAGTGTTATATTGTGGTGATGCAAGTTTGCAGGGAATTGAGAGTAATTCGTTGGAACACAGGAGAGGACTTGCTACAAGTGTGGGGCAAAGGGTAAGGCTGGAGTTCAGCTTTAAAGAAAAACTCTGGGCACAAATATTCTTAACCCTTGCAGAGGGCACTGCAAGAGTTAAGTGCTTGTCTTCGTCTAGGAATGAAAATAACAAAGATGTACTCACTTGAACCTTGCAGCTTGCTGACTCCTAGACCAGTCCCTTCAGCCTGTGCTCCAGCAATGGAATGACCCTCGGAGTCCTCACATCCAATATAGTGTATTGGCATCATGACTCACAGGACCTTAGACCGCCGGAGCGGAGAGGAAACGAGGCCGTTAGGACCACTATAGTTGCCAGCTGGCTGCGAGGTTCAGGTGAGTAAAGCTTTATTATTTTCATACCTGGATGAAAAAGAGCACTTAACCCTTGCAGTGCAGGGGTAGCCCAGTGCAGGTTGTCTCCCTAGAGACAACAGTGAGTAATCCTCTATTATTAAGAACCTATAGAAACTGCAGGTGCAGTCAGAAAAAAATACAAAATGAGGTCTCACTAATAGGACTACAAATTAAAAACAGCCTATCCCGATCTCCCACCATTCCAAACAAAAGACATTTGTTTGGATGAATGTCTATGAAATGATTTTATGCAATAAAAACCCAACAAACACAAACTTAAAGTGTACCTGTGCTCAGACAATGGACGGTAAAGTATTTCCATATTCTTAACAAGCAGTAAAAAAAAAAGGCTTTAAAAAGTCATCCCTGACCTCTCGAGCTGCATGTGCTGTGAATTAATTAACTTTCTCACATCACATTCGCCAAGATCCTCAAAGATCACAACGGAGTCTCTAAAGTCAGATTTCAGTGTAACAGCTTAGAAGCAAGTGTCGGCTGCCAAGATTCTGCTGCATTAGAAAGTAAGAGGAAAAGAG